CATCAATTTTTGCTACGTTTAAAATAACTGCGATTTTTACATTGAAGGTTTTCCTGTGACCGGCCAATCCTTCCTTCCCTGTCCCATAACATCCCACCTATCCTAGGCAACAAGAGATGAGGGAAAAGGAATGGCAGTGTCCCACCAAACATCCAACAGCCAGCAGGGCGTGCAGCAGCAGGATGGTGGCCACGGTGGCCACCGCGATGCGGCGGCTGTCGTCGCGGACCGCGGGCCAGAAGGTCATCACCAGCACGGAGCCCGAGAGGCACAGCGAGAACACCACCAGCACCCAGCGCACCACCTTCTGTGGGATGATCCACAAGATCTGGGAAAGGCAGGAAAAGGCTTGGCTTGCAAAAGGCTGCGTGTTCTGTGGCACGGCATCGCTTCCATTCGCGCGCAAATGAAGTCACGCCTAAATCTGACGCGTCTCTTGTTGGGGGAAAGAGTAAGAGCGGTGATGAGCTTTACTCTCAGACACAAGGGTGAATCCCAAGTTATGCCACTCCCTCCAAGGCCTGTCCCCAGCCAGGGAAATTGTCCTTGGAGCCATCAGTGCTGCAGTCCTGCATAGCTATCTGTTCCCTGAGGCAGCCTCGGGCTGCCTGCCAGGCTCACCAGCAGCACCTTGCTTGGTTTTGCTGCCTCTGGGGAAATGATGCGTCCTGGGCTTTTCCAGCACCCAAAAGACACCTTTACACTAGACAAGCCTCAAGAAAAAGAGCAAAAGATTCTCCCAGTCTCCAAAATTTCAACAAATATCAATAACATTATAAGAAACAGCAAATCTTCTCAGGCACAACATGTGAGAGGGGCACTCTTTAGCCATACGTACCGCTGTGGGAATGTAGATGAAGAGGGAGTAGCCATACACACACACTATCTCCAGGAATGAGTAGGAGACTATGTTCATGACTTTACTGTTCCTCCACATCAGGAATCCCCAGAGAGCAAGGGGAACAAGCCAAGCGTATGCATAAATCGTTGTAGCTGCTATGGACACTGGAAACACAACAAAGGGTTTCATGTTCTACTTTGAATCCTGCCAGAATCAAAGGTGTAGAAGCATTCAGCATGAAAATTAGAAAGCTACCTGTGAAGATACTTCCAAAAGATGAAGGTTGAATTATTAATAAACTGAGAACTTTGCATTTATATCTAGTTTACACCCAGTACTCTGCCAGCACTTCAAGAAGGTGGTGTCAGTGATAATCCAATCTGGTAATTTTCTGCCTGAGGCCTGCAGGTTCCTGGGAGGCCACAGATCCAGGAAGCCCCCACCAAAGCACCACAGAGGCCAGTGCTGGGCTTTCACTCTCTGCACAAGGAGATATCCACTAAGACTAAAAAATATCTAATTACTCCTGCTTGCTCTTCTAAAACCCTGAAACTAGTTTATGATTTGAAGAAACAGGGTTCTGCCAGTCACAGCTCATTTTAAGGGCTTATTTCACATGTCTAAAAATTTAAAAACAGCAATCAATCAAAAGACTTGTGCTAAATCAAAGCCATGACCTGGTTTTATATTACTTCATTTGCACATTAAAAAAAAAAAAAACAACAAAAAAAACACTCCCACAAATGACTACTTACAAACCTTTTCTAAACTCAGGCACATAGTGGTACGTTGGTTTGCCCAGATGGATGAAGAAATTTGAGAGATTGCCACTAACAGCAATGGTGAACACGAGTGTAGCACATATCCAAAATGGACCTTAAAAGGAAACAAAATCAATAGCATCTCCTCTGCTGTCTTGCTTCCTAGGCCAACAAGTCAAATGTAATACAGACTCAAAATATTTAGCACAGCATGTAACTTCTCCCACCTCACACCTACCATAAAGGTCGGGATTGCTGCGGATGTACAGCCTTACAAAGTTCTTCCCAGGCACTGGGAACACTGACCCTTTGATTCTGTCCAGGACCTGTGAAACATAAGGATCTGTCTGACTGACAGTGCAAGAAGGAAAAAAAACTCAGTGGATAAGGCATAATTCAGACAACAGCTCTCCTCTGGAGCAGAGTATTAACCTGGTATGTGTCCACATCGAAGAAGGTCTGGTAGTACTCAAAAGTCCAGAAAGGGGCACTTTTCTTCTGTCCTGCAAGCAGCTGGATAGTGGGAAAGGCAACATGGAAAGTGTTACAAGCACACAATTTATGCATTACTAGCTCATTTACACAGTAGTCACATGATTTTGGTACCCAAACTGAAAACAACCGTAACAGGTAGGATTATGTAATGGTTTTCCTCCTCCCCTCCAACAGCTGTTGACAGCCAGTCTCTTATCTCCCTGCAGGCAGCACCACGGCCTGAGGCTGTAAAGAGCAGCCTGCCACTACCTGCTGCCACATCATCTGGAACACACACCCTCTCCACCATGACAAGTTCCTTCTGCTGTCAGAACCACGGAATGGCCTGTGACTGAAGGGACCTTAAAGATCATCTTACTCCACCCCCCTGCCATGGGCAGGGACACTTTCCACTATCCCACGTGCTCCAAGCCTGGCCTTGAACACTTCCAGGCGCAGCCACAGCTTCTCTGGACACCCTGTGCCAGCACCTCACCACCCTCACAAGAGAGAATTTCTTTCTATAACCAATCTAAACCTCTTCTCTTTTAGTCTGGATCCATTCCCCCTTGTTCTGTTCTCTACATGCTCTTGTAAGATGTTCTTCTCCATCTTTCTCACATGCCTCCACCAAAAGAGAGAGAGCATTACCTCTGTTTTATCAGAGTCATCAGTGCCCAGTAACTCATCATCCTCTTCCCTCCCTGGCTCTGGCAGGTGGCTGTGCTGATTCTTGGGGATTTCGACTGGCTCATCGATGCTTATGGTGGTGGCATCAGGATTTGCTGCAAGCAAATTAGCTGCATCATCAAATTCTGCAAATAAGTACATTAAAAGACAGGCAATGATCAAGACACTAAAATTTTTGTTCTCGTGTCTCAAATAAACATATAAAAATCCTGAGACAGAATAACCACTAGCTTAGGCATGTTGGGTGTGATCTGTTTCCTAAAGTCCAAACTGACACGGATCAAGCTGAACACTCAGTCAGCCGATAAAGTGTGAGTCTGCTTTTCCTGCCGATCTGCCTGCAGGATGTGACACTGGCACCGCTGGAGCCTGCCTTCCTGCCCTGCCAGCAGCCCCGACCCCAGGGCCAGCAGGTCCCTGCCAGGAGAAATGGATGCTTTTAATGTTCTTTAAAAAGTGACATAAACTTTTTAATGAAGAACCAAGGAAGTCTGAACCCGGGGCCTGTTGCAACTTACACAGCGCTCTGCCCCTTTCCAGCTGTCACTTGCTACCACAAAGGATTTCTGTCCAGGATTTCCGTCAACACCGGTTACATTTTTTATTTCGCCAGCAGCACAATTCCATCTCAGAAAATTCAGGATACCTGACCCCACAAACAAAACTCCCAGGACGTTTTTACTCCGCGAACGCTCAGAAACGCTCCCAGAGCCGGAGCGCCTGACGGCTCCCGCAGCCGGGCTCGGCCCCGCGCCCGCACCTCCGGCACCGCCTTTACCTTGGAATTTGAGGTCGTCCGCCGTCGCCATTCATCCGCCTGGACGAGGATCAGCTCCCCGGGGCTCGACCCTCCTGCAAGAGGACAGGGGCAGCGCTGGGGCGGGTGCGGTGCCCGCCGTGTGCCAGCGCTGCTGTGCCCCGCGGCCGCGCCCCCCGAGCCCCCGCAGCCCGCCCGGGCCCCGGGCCGGGCACCCCGCACCTCGGCACCGCCACGGGCCCGCAGCCGCCGCTCCGCTCCCTTAAAGGCGCCGCCAGCGCCGCGCGGCTGCAGCCAATCAGCGGCGCCGCCGGACCCCTCTGCCCCCTCCCCTCGGAGAGCAACAGCCCCGTCGGTGACGCGCCTGGCACCGACCAATCAGAGCCCGCGCGGCGCTTCCGCGTGCGCGCCCGCCCGCCCCCTTAAAGGGCCCGCGGCAGCCCAGGTATGGCGGCGGCTGCCGTCTGTGAGGGGCTGTGGGTGATCGTGCGCTTGTACATCTGCTATGGACGTACAGTGCGTGTTTTGGTAACTGAAAGTTTTACCAGAGAAACACAGAACGGGCTGGGCTGGGAGGGACATTAGTGCTCATCTCATTTCAGCTCCCTGCCGTGGCAGGGACACCTCCCACAGAAAGGGTTGGTCCCAGCCCCGTCCAGCCTGGCCTTGGACACTTCCAGGGATCCGGGGGCAGCCGCAGCTTCTCTGGACACCCTGTGCCAGGGCCTCACCTCCCTCACAGGAGAGAATTTCTTCTTCATACCTACTCTAAACCTGCCCTCTGTTGGTTTGCAGCTGTTCCCCCTTGTCCCGTCACGCCGGCCCTTGTCAACAGCCTCTCTCCATCTGTCCTGTCTCCCTTCAGGTGCTGGAAGGCCACAGCTAGGTCACCACAAAGCCTTCTCCAGCCTGAACAATCCCAACTCTCACAGCATCCCTCTGATCTCTGTCGCTCCAGCAGATCCATGTCCTTCCTATGCTGGGGACCAGCGGATATTATATATACTGGAGTATATTTTTTTTTAATTTTTTTTTTTTTTTTTAATCCTTCAGCCCCAAAATGCCAAACTCTGGAGTGCACGAGAGCACCAGTGCAGAAAGAACAGGGCACTGTTGCACAGCATCTGCATCACCCCAAGGCCTCAAGCACCAGCACCTTAGTTGTTACTCTGGGGTTCAGGGAGAACACCCTGATGCAGCTGCCCTCATTTCTAAGCACAGACCACATCTGTGGATAAAGCCCACAGCTCTGCAGTGAGCACCACAGCCCCACCCTGGCTGCCCTTGGTGCAGCTGGGGGAGCGCTGCTGACAGGACCCTTGCTCACCCAGGGGCTGAAGTGCAGGGACAGGACAGTGTGCAAGGCAAGGCAGAAACTCAATTAAACACGTGAATGTTTTCCCTCCCCTTCACCCTCTACCTTTGCCCCTGCCTCGCATTGTGCTCCCATCGCGAGCGGCCAGACCTCTCCACCACCATGTCGGGCATCAGGGTACTGCTACAGAAAATCCTGATCCTTCTGCAGGTTACCCTGTCTGTTGTTGTGGGCAAAACACTGATGATACTGTTCCCCAACGCCATGAAGAGATACATCCTGAAGATGGGTGAAAAGAGCAGAATGAACAGAAATCCAAAGTTCAGCTATGAAAACTGGGGCCCGACCTTTTTCAGCTTCAAGTATTTGCAGTTTGTGCTGAAGGTGAAGTGGAAGAGGCTGGAGGATGAAGCCTACGAGGGACAGCCTGCTCCCAACACACCCGTGGTGACCCTCGGCGGGGAAGTTTGTCACCTCCTGGATTTCCTGAAAGGTCAGTAATTGAGTCAGTAATTTCAGTAATTGCTGAGAGCACAAATGAGGAGATGCTGCTGAGGGAGCAGGGACAGGCAGCTGGCACTGGAATGCATCATGTGCAGACCACCAGCACTCACCTGCTGGAGAAGATGCAGCACATTTACTCCAGCTGCTTCTTGATTGTCAAAAATAACCTGCATTTATCACCCTGTCTATGCTATCCCTTCACACCACTCAGCTTTTGCAAGAGCTGGCTCTGCCTTACTTTTTGCTGAAAGCCAAGGTAATAATTTGTTTTAGGGAGAGAAGGCCCAGAACTGAACTGCGTGCAATGATTCCTGAGTTTTGGCTGTCATTCCCTGTCCATACAGAAAATTCCACACCAGTTCCCTTAGCTAGCCTAAAGCCTAGAAAGCACACAGTGGGTTTTTCCAGATCTAAAGTGGCTGGGAATAAAGCAGAAGTAGCTGCTTTGTACTTTGTCCGCTGCCTCCCACTGAGATCTCAGCAGAATGTGGAATTAATCATTAAGCTGCAGCCTCCATCCCCACGGGAGGGATTACATCCTTCTCTCACTCTGCATCCCTAATTATATATAGATATTTATGTGGAAAATGGGCTGAAAATTTGAAGAGAGATACACAGTATCTACAGGAAGGTACCACTGTTATTTAATTCTTTAGGATGTGGATCTATGTTAGCAGCAGCTTTTAAGTTAAACCATACCAGAAAGGTCTTGGACAAATTTAATGGAATTCAGCATAACCAGACTAAAAGAGGTGCTTAAAAATCCTGCAAGCTCTCTTAAATCAAGGCCTTGCAAACAGATGCCAACATAAACACAATACTGTGTTAATTTGTAAGCAACTGCAGATACTTTTTGCCAGTGTAAGGTTAGTTTAATAATAATATATAACCAGAGTTCTGTTTGGACAGGAAATTGCAGAAATACATTGAAAGCATGAAAGCCTATCATGCATGACTGAGAAGTCTGCAGTTTCCCGTCAGCTCAGCTTGAACTGACACATCTGAAAAAATCTGGACATGAAAAGGCACTGGGACTCTGTCCTCAATGCCCACCCCTGAACCACTGTCCCTGGATAACCTTGCAGAAGGCCATGTTTAATATTTTTGAAGTTGCTCCATACTAAGGATTTCAGGGAGGCTGAGATGCCCATTTTGGATCAGTACCTTATCCCAAAAATGTTGGTAACTTGCTGACTGGCTCTTGTGATGAGGAAAAGAGAAGCTGTGTGACTGCAGGGTGCCTCCTGCCTGTACTGGGCAGGGTTCCCTCAGCTAAACTCCTTGCTGGCTGCAGCACAGATAGAGCCAGGCTAGTAAAAACACCTTTATGCCTGCTTTGCAGAGATGCAGAGGTTCTGCTGCTGATTTTACTGACCTAGAAGTTTATGAAGTCACTTAGTGTTGTCCAGGAACCCCTGCACCAGAGGCTCAGTTCAGTGTATTTAATTATTTAATCCTTCACTTAATCACAAAACTTTTTTTTTTTTCTCCAGATAATCGACCTTTAATCCTGAACTTTGGAAGCTGCACCTGACCTTCATTTATGCTAAAATTTGATGAGTTCAACAAGCTCATCAAAGATTTCAGCTCAATAGCAGATTTCCTTATCATCTACATTGAGGAAGCTCACGCAGTAGGTACAGTACAAAAACCACAGTGATGCCAACCACAGCTTCAAATGTGTCACTTCCTTTAGGGGAAAAAAAAAAAGTGTGCTAGCAAAGGAGGGGGCTGCAAGCAGCACAGAAATCTTCAAATCAAGTGGCAATACCAAATCCAGGCACCAGTATCCCTAATTCTCCTAGGATTCTACTTACACTTCTGACTTTACACTGAGTTACTCATTTGAAGGACACAGTTGTATCTTCTAATAATTGCCTCTCAATGTTAGTACAGTTCCTTTTGGAAAGAGGAAGAAAAGACATTTCATAGAACAAAAGTGTACAATATATTATGTGTTAACAGAAAAAAAATAAAATTAGTTTTTAAAATTTTCCAAGAACAGAACGCAGACTCCAATTTGAAAAATTTGGCAAGCAAACAAAACATACTTGTTTATCTACACTGGATTCTAAGTAACACATTGGCACAGGTTTTATCCCAGGATTAAATGTTTTTCTAAAACCTAACATTTATAGTTTTCTAGCAACACGTCCTTGTCAGCAACTGAGAATCAGATAATGATTAAGTCAGTCATCAAACCCTTTTGCTAGTTTGTACTTTACTGGGAAGAGTTGTGTGCAAATGTTTGTTTGCATAGTTCTGATAAACAAAGGTGTGGCCTGGCTCATATTTCACTTCTCACAGACCTGTTATTTTGGTTTATAGGCTTAATGAGTACCAGCAAGCAAAATGAACAACACTGACAAACCTTACCAATACATGTTCCCCACTTGGCGTCTTTCTAGGGTCGATCTATGTGGGAAAATTTCAGCTAAAATCCATCTAATATTTCTGAATCCAGGGCAGTTTGATGAGGGAAGAAAAACAGACCTTGGGACCACTTATTGGAAAGCTCTAGTGCTGACATAGTCTGAGGGGGGCTTTCATTTCATGGCAAGTTTTGATGTTAGGAATAAACTGCAAGATTCTTTTAACCTAGTTTTGGGATATGACACACAGTACACGTCCACCCTTGCACCTATTCAAAACCTTCGCTGCTAAATCCCTTCCTCATTTGTTTTAGATGGATGGGCTTTTAAAAACAATGTCATTATTAAAAATCACAGAAGCCTTGAAGATCGAAAAAATGCAGCAGAGTTTCTTCAGAAAAATCACCCTCTGTGTCCAGTGGTTTTAGACACTATGGAAAACCTGACCAGCTCAAAATACGCCGCGCTGCCAGAGCGACTCTACATGCTCCAGGGAGGGAAGGTCATCTACAAGGTAAAAAATACCAGCACCAATGAGCACAGTGTACAGAGATCTTGAAATTTCAAGGTAACTTGAGACTGCTTTACATTTAACAGTCAGTATTGCATTCTGTTTGAGAGCTAAACGTTTCACAATGCACCGTAAACGTGGAGAGAAATGAAAATGCAGCAAAACCAGTCTGGGCCTTTGTAACGTACATATTTGATGTACACCTCAGTCCTGCTCAAATATTTATCTTTTGGCTCACTAGTAACCTGAGGTACATCTAAGCTGTGAAATCCAGGAACACCTCCCTCCTCCAGGATGCAGACATTGGCTCTGTCCCAGTGACACAGCAGGGTGTAACCATCTCCCAGGGATGGCTGCAGTGGAAAGGGAGCCCAAGGCACACCTGCCCACAGTTCTGGTGCAGCTGCTGTGCTCTGAAGGATTTCTGCTCTGTCTGCTTCAGCATCACTGTGTCATTTTATTGCCTTTGCAGGGAGGAGTGGGGCCTTGGAATTACCACCCCCAGGAAATACGTGCCATCCTGGAAAAAATGAAATAGAAAAAGAAGAGGACTTCGAAGGAAAAACTGTTTGGATAAAGAAGTGCAAAAATAATTCATCACAGACCTAAGCCTAAGGAACAGAACCAGAATTTAAAAACAGCCATAGAGAGAAGAAAAGAAGAATGTTGTATATGCATGTAAGGAGCATCTGGAATAATGTTTGTTTGTCTAGAAGCTTTCAGGTGTCATCCCTACAACACCAACTTCTGTTCTGTAGTAACTGACTACTCTTATACCACATGCAGTAATGTGGGAGCTGGGTCCACTGAGCTCTGGATACCAACATTTACACTTGTGAGGAATATCCTGCAGGATAAACTTCAGCGTGGTGACATTTGCAAGAGTCCACTAGCATGCAAAGCAACTGATTTCACATTATTATACACATTGTACTTGTATTTATAAAATGTTCCCTTTCAGTGACTTCAGGAAGCTTCTGAGCAAGACAATCTCTATCAACATCTGTTTCCATGAGTATTTGTTATGATGGTCCCAGCCTAAAGCACTGGCGGCTGTGACCTGATTCTAGAAAATATTTATAGAAACAAGGGATTGATCTACAATTATTAGAAGTCTATCAAAACACTTCATTTGGCTTCAGATTATTTCCCTTCCTGCCCTGCCTCTCTCTCCCAGGTTATTTCTAAGCATTAGCAGACATTTATATTCATTCTAATAATCTCTGAGTTTGAGCTGATCAGAAATGTACCAGCTTAAGGACTTTTGAAGGACTTGTTTGACAGTAGGAAGTAATACATCCCAATTAAGTAGCTCACACTTTTTTTTCTATTTAACTCAGAGTGCAAGGGAAACATTTTACAGGAAATTGAGTTTTAATTAATGTATTATGTAAGCCTGATATAAATACACTACCTTAAATGGACTCACTTATGTTCAGGTGTTCTAGGCTGACAGTTTAGGTTACAAAATGAAAAACCTGTTACTACAATTAACAACTGCACTGTGTTGTGGTTGGACTTGATCATCTTAAAAGTCTTTTCCAACCTAAATGATTCTACATTCTCCTATTCTATTCCATACATTAAACCAGTAGGGAATACATACCACATCCATACCTTCAAAAACCACTTTAATGCAAGGTTCTAATAATAAACATTCTCTGCAGTGCAGATATCAAAATGTAACTTCCTTATAAAAAAAATTAAGTAGAGGCCCAAATTTAAGCTGGGCTCAACTGTTCTCTGCTGTGCCCTCTGCCATCACCCGGTGCACTGACACAAAATGATCAAAGGCAGATTTGATGATGAAACGCAAGTAAGTGGCTTGGAGCTCAGGAAGCTGCAGGAGGAATAAAAATAATGTCATTGCATTCTCTGTAGTAACAAAACTACCCAACCACATTTGCAGAAGTTTGCTAAACCACAAGGATCTGGATCTTTCAGTGTCCGTTTTTTGAACTGCACATAAATCAAGTTCTTTGACCTGCAGCTCAAAAAAATCCCACCACCTCCTGAGTTCTGCAGCCTTAAAGGCAGCAACCGAAGGAGGGAAGATTGCCACACTTCTGGAAAGGGCCCTTGCACCTCGTTAGGAGCACTAAGCAGGTGCAATTTCATAGCATAATCTACAGAGGAGCAGCTGGGAAGTGCAATTTCACACCACAACATACAAATTCTTCTCTTTAACACCAACTGAGCAATAATTGTAAATAAAGACATGTTTGGTTTTTTTATGGTTTCTTCCCACTTAGTCCTGACATCCCATTTCATGAATGCTACTGATGTACACTGTAAATACTCACTGGAAATTCTTCCATTTGGAGCTGTCCTTCTCTGTGCTGCAAATCTAGAAAATATATTTCAAGGTAAATAATGACGAATAATGTGCAATGCACATTATTCACTTCACTCCAGTGAAGTTTTCACTGGACTCAGAGTTCAAGTGAGTTTAAGGACAATGAATTTACATCTAGACATTGTTCTTTTTTCATTTTACAGGTGATTTAAGAGAATACTTTTTTGCAGGATCCCAGTGTGTGTGTATATATATCCCACTCATTACAGTGTTAAAAAAAGTCACCCAAGAGGCACTAAAAAAAGCCAATCCCCAAGCCAAACAATGCAGGAAATGGCACTCTATTATACTATGTAAGCCTGTTTTTAATTTTTGGAACATAAAGTGCACAAGTAGTGCTTTTAGCCCTTATACAGCATTTTACTCTCCAAACTGCTGCAGAGACCAGCAGTGTTAACAAAATTCACTTAAACGTGACTGTTACATTAACATCTAATAAAACAATCATCACACCACACTTTACTCAACAAACAGATGAGGGGTTACATGGATTCACTGAAAAACACCAACGTTGCTCCCACAAAACCCCACAAACTCAGTCTTACCTTTTTCAACACACTGTTCAAAACCCACAGGGTCTTTAGACGTGCTTCTTTCAATCCTTAAGGTCCGCACTAAAATACATATCAATTCAAAATATCAACACAAGCTCTGATTCTCTACTGATACTGACATTTATCCATCACTTTACAACCACAAAACACTTTCAGAGCATTAACTAATTTATTTTTTTCTCTAAACTATGGGGAATGTGGATATGAAGGACGACTGCTTTGTGAAAATGAATCTTTATGCAAAATTAAATCTTTATGTGACGTTAAATGTTTATGAATCTCTTAAAAGTAGCAACATACAGACTAGGACACTACTGTGGGAACTTTTATTAAGGCAGTGTAGCACATATTACCTACTGCAAGACACAAGTCTTACCCAAATAACACTGGATGGCGACTTTGTTGATTTTTACACATTTGGGAAAACCAATAATCAGTTCCTGTGGGAACATGCCTGTCGTCGTCCAAAACGTTTTGGAACTTCTGTAGAGAGAACAGGATAAAACCCTTAACCGCGGCTTTCCATCTATAACCATCCTGAATGAAATTTATCACAGAAATATACAGAGGAGAAAGGAAGGGGGGAAAGCGGAGGGGAAAATGAGTGGAAAAACGGGGACAGTGAGGAAGGGAAGGAGAGGGACGAAGACGAGGAGGAGAGGGCGAAAGGGACGGGGGAGGCATTTTTATTTGGGGTACTTCCAGCAGCTCTCCGGGGGTATTCACACCTCGCCGGGCAGGCTCTGTACCCACACGGGAGCGCGCAATGGCGGCGGGCCGCGAGCAGTTCCAGCGTGAGGGCGAAGGGCCGAGCCCTGCCAGCCCCGGCGGGCTCCGTGCGGGAGGAGCCGCTCCCGCCGCCCGCGCCCCCGCCCGGCCCTCACCCGTCCGCCACGCTCTCGGCGGGGTGCTCGGCATCGCTGGACGTGGCCAGCACCAGCGCGGCCCCCGCCGAGCTCCGGCACCAGTCGGTGGCTTTCATCGCCCGCCGCGGGGCTGCCGCTCCCGGGCAACGCCGGCAGCTCCCGCCCTACGGCCGCGGCGGGTGCGGGCAGCCGGGATCG